CTGAACCTCAAGCTTCTAGAAAAAGAAGAGCAGGACAAACCCAAAGCTCATACAAGGGAGGAAATTATAAAGATCAGAGCAGAAATCAATTCAATGGAGACTAACAGAATGATACAAAAAATCATTGAAGCCATGAGTTGGTTCTTTGAAAGGATAAACAAAATTGACAAACACTTAGCCAATCTTATCAGAAAAAGGAAAGAAAAGGCCCAAATCCATGCAACTAGGAACGAAAAGGGTGAAATTACAATAGGCCCACCAGAAATCCAGAGGATCATCAATACCTACTTCGAGAACCTATATTCCTAGATACATAGATATTACCAAAGTTGAATGAAGAAGACCTAACAATTCTGAACAACCCAATATCAACCAATGAAATTGAATACATAATTTAAAACTTGTCAACTAAGAAAGGCCTGGGTCCTGATGGCTTCACTGCTGAATTCTACGAGACATTTAGAGAGGAACTACTGCCACTATTGTTTAAACTCTTCAATGAAATTGAAAAGGAAGCAATACTCCCAAATTCATTCCTGGAAGCAAGCATCACCTGGGTCCACAAAGCAGAGAAAGACCCAGCTGAAAAAGAGAATTATACACAAATCTCACTAATGAACATAGATGCAATAATCCTTAATAAGATACTGGCAAATAGAATGCAGAAGATCTTACACCCTGACCAAGTGGCATTCATCCCAGGGATGCAGGGATGGTTCAACATACACAAATCAATCAATGTAATACACTATATCAGTAGAGCCAAGGACAAAAAATGTATGATTATCTCCATAGATGCAGAAAAAGCATTTGACAAAATCCAACACACATTTATTGTTACAACCCTATGAAAAATTGGAATAGATGGTCTCTACCTCAATCTGATAAAAGCCATCTATGAAAAACCAACAGCCAGCATCATAATAAATGGTCAAAAACTGAAACCCTTCACACTAAAATCAGGAACAAGAGAAGGATGTCCACTCTCACCACTCTGTTCAATATAGTTTTGGAAAGATTAGCCATGGCAATTAGACAAGAGAAAGCAATAAAAGGAATAAAGATAGGAAATGAAGAAGCCAAATTGTCATTATTTGCAGATGACATGATACTCTATATACAAGACGCCTAGAACTCCACCAGAAGTCTTCTAGACTTAATAACCAAATTCAGTAGAGTAGTTGGATACAAGGTCCACACACAAAAATCAATAGCTTTCCTCTACATGAACAATAGACTCACTGAGA